AGGAGAAGATAGACTAATTTATTCACTTATGAGTTAAGCCATAAGCCACCATAAATGATGGATACATGTCATTATGTATTTGTCCAAACCCGTAGTGTATAACACCAAGAGTGAACCATAACGTAAACTATGGGCTTTGGGTATTACGATGCATCGGTGTAGGTTCATCGATTGTAACAAGTGGTACCATAGGCTGTGGTGGGGAAAGCTCACAATGGTGAGGCTGTGTGTTTGTGGAGGCAAGGGGTATGTAACCTCTGTACTTTCTCCTCAATTTTGCTGTTAACCTAAAAGCTGCTCTAAAAAACCAAAATCTTAATTTTAAAAAAGCGTTAATTCTTTAAAAGAACATTTTGTGTCCCTTTAGACTTATTATTTTGCTGCAAAGTCACTTTTGAAGGTTTTAAAGTTTCCATGTGGTACAGCCTTCCGGCACTACCAGGGGGAGGGGCCATGTGAACCAGCTTCGCTCTTTTGTCTCTGGGAAGGACTGAGTCACAGAGTGTCTAGCAACTGATTCAGGTCACTGTGAGTCAGGAGCAGACCTTGGGACAGATGAGTATTTCTGAGCACACTGGCACAATTATGTACGCAGTTAAGCACAAGTATGCATTCTAGGACGTTTCAAAGTTTTTCTACACAATCCTCATTTTCTCTTCTAAATTTATCTGAAACCTTATGTGTTCTTTCTAAGTAATTCTAAAATAATAATTTGTTGGTATAAGAACACTTATGAAGTCTAGAGAACTTGAAAAGACTAAAGGCAACTTTAATCTTTGCCGAGTTAGCTTTTCTTTTACAGAAAGTGTCTGTGTCAACACAGAATACCAGTGACAGTTTTACCTACTCTTCTTCATCCATTATTGGGACAGTGCACATTTTGTGCAAATGTAAACAGAAATCCCTTAACATCTATCCCAATAAATGACCTTGATTTCATCTCTTCAACTCTTTGGTTTTTTTTTAAGATTTTATTTTTAAGTGATCTCTACATCCAACATGGGCCTTGAATTTACAATCCCAAGATCAAGAGTCACATGCTGTACTGACTTAGCCAGCCTGGTGCCCCTCTTCTCAACTCTTAATCCACCTCAGAAGGTGGCTGGGTTTCTCTCAGTGCATCTGCAGGTGCAACAGTTGTATTGCTTTTCAGAAGTTATTTCCCAACGTCCTATGGAATAATCAGATAGGGCAGACCTTATTATTTTCTAAATCAAAATGGAGCTGGGGTGCCTGGGTGGCTCAGTCGGTTAAACGTCTGTCTTGGACTCACGTCGTGGTCCTGGAGTCCTGGGATCGAGCCCAGCATTGGGCTCCATGCTCGGCGGGGAGTCTGCTTCTCCCTCTACCTGCCCCTCCCCCCTGCCTGTGCTCGCGCGCGCGCGCGCTCTCTCTCTCTGGCAAATAAATAAATAAAATCTTAAAAAAAAAAATGGAGCTGATGGGGCGCCTGGGTGGCTCAGTCGTTAAGCGTCTGCCTGCCTTCGGCTCAGGTCATGATCCCGGATTCCTGGGATCGAGCCCCGCATCGGGCTCCCTGCTCAGCGGGAAGCCTGCTTCTCCCTCTCCCACTTCCCCTGCTTGTGTTCCCTTTCTCGCTGTCTCTCTGTCAAATAAATAGAAATCTTTAAAAAAAAATGGAGCTGGCATCAACATGGACAATAATCATTTATCTTTAGTTCATGCTCAGTCATTTATCTTTAGTTCATGCTCAGGAGGCACGGACATTTTACTTTTTAATTTATTTATTTATTTGATAGAGACAGAGATAGCGAGAGCAAGAACACAAGCAGGGGGAGTGCGAGAGGGAGAAGCAGGCCTCCCGCAGAGCAGGGAGCCCGATACAGGGCTCGATCCCAGGACCCCAGGATCATGAGCCGAAGGCAGACGCTTAACGACTGAGCCACCCGGGCGCCCGGCACGAACATTTTAGAGGAAAAAGAGATGCGGATATGCCTATACTCCCTGACTAGAGCATCAGATCAGACACAGCCCCAGGCTAAGCCTCAGTATTCTTAACTGTTACCTGCAGACATGAAATCCTTGTTTAGATTTCTTTTCTCAGTGGCCATTATAACCTGCAGTTAATGACTCACACTTGATATTCCTGAGAGTCTCCAAACAGATTGGCACACAGATTCAGAGTTGTGAAATGAATGGTTGAAAAAAATGTATTATTAGGAGGAAAGAAAGATAAAGGCTGAGGTACAAGGACAATAAAGCAATGGTGTAGGTGCCAGGGTTTCTTAAGGTGGTGCAGGGATGGCTTTGGGTGGCCCATGACCCCTGATTTTCACATGGAAAATTCTGTATGAATGCACCTGTGTGTATTTTTCTAAGAAGATTCTTTCTTCAGGTCTTCAAAAGGGCCTGAAACCCTTTTTTTCTCTCCCAAATTGAAGCTGAGGGTGGTTTCTCTCTGAATTCTTTAGTGAGCTGACTAAACCTGATTTCGTATCACATTTTAGGCATTTTATGTATTGTTTGTGTTAAAATTTGCATTCCTTAGCTCATTTAATAGCTTGGCTAGGGGGTGCCTAGCTGGCTCAGTTGGAGGAGCACGGACTCTTGACCTCAGGGTTGTGAGTTCAAGCCCCACGCTGGGTGTACGTATTACTTCAAGAAGTAAACTTAAATATTGAAAAAATAAAAGCTTGACTGAAAACTAAATACAAATTCATTCAAGTGGCTTCTTAAAAACACTCATTCTTCCCCGCGTTCGTTCACTCTAATTTATGCACATTTTCTCTTTTTATTCAGGAATAGTTGACATACATTAGTTTCAGGTATATGACACAGTGATTCAACAACTATATACCTTATGAAATGCTCACCACGGTAAGTGTAGTTACCATCTACCACTCTACAAAGTTATCACAATATTTATGCAGATTTTCTGTACATGATTAACATTCTCCAGTCACCAAACTCCTCACTTAATATGGTGACGTGATTTAGGATTTGGGATTATATTTTGATTATTTGTAGATCACAGAATTATTTCTCATCTGAAAGATTTTTCTGTCTTTATTACTAAGGAAAGGAGAGCATCTATCTCAAATTAAACAGCTCCTCCTTAACTCTGGCTTTAACTGGTCAGAACCACAAACAAGTGACCCAGGACACTCAGCCTCAGCAAAGTCACCTTCAGATTTTTTGTTTTTGCTTTCAACACGTTTTCCTAGCAGTTTTGATCCTTATTGCTTCCCTGTTTTTTCTAGAATAATCTTGTGGTTTTAAAGCACCTTATTATTGATATATGTTGATTTTATAAGTACATTCCAGAATGAACTAGTGTAGCTGTTTTTATAATAAAAATCCTGTATTATAGATGTGAAATCTTCAGTAAAGTTTTGAAAATATTGTAGCTTAAAGATGATTTCCGGAGTAAAGGGAGAAATGGGGAGGTATAAATCAATGGGTACAAAGTTTTAGAAACACAAGATAAGTCCTAGAGATCTACTGTACAGCAGAGAGAAAGTAGTTCACACACACTCTCTCACACACATGCAAATAGTAATAGAGGGCAGGAAGAAACTTTTGGAGGTAAAGGATAGATTTATGGCATTGATTATGCTGATAATTTCATGGAGGCATACTTACCTCTAATCTCATCAGGTTGTATACATTAAATATGTAGTTTTATGTATGTCAACATACCTCAATAAAGTGCTTTAAAAAAAGATATTTTCCATTTACATAGTGCTCCATGGTTTCTAATGTATCTCTCAGGTACTACTTCGTTCTCCAAACAAAGCAGGCAAAGCAGACATTACACCATTGCATTTTACAAGTGAGGACTCTGAGGCTCAGAGGCGGTGAGCCTTAGGCCACCTACCTAGACCTGGCATAGGTCAAAGTCAGTACTTTTGAATCCAGGACTGGCCTCACCACCCATCCATCTCTTGTTTTTCTTAAGCTTCAGTTAAAGATAAACCCCAAACAAATCTCATATCAATATATACTGAGAAACTGGGTATAGAATAAAATTCTCTAGACCAAGTTTCTTAGCATTTGG